AAGGTCTTTAAAAAGCTCTACTAATAAATAGTTGGGACATTCTCTTTAAAGTTTTGTTAGATACTCGAAATATTTAGATCTATAATTGGATGGATTTTATTCAAATTTCGATTCTAAGCATAATTGTTATATTATATGGTGGAATAATGCTCAGTATATTCAATTATTAAATCAAATTTAAATTTTCAGTAATAAGGATGAACAACAATCAAAAATTTTAAATTCTTCATCTTTTTAGATAAGTATTCTTTTTATATTTTTTGATATTTACTTAAAACTCACAGATAATATAATTAGGATTATTACTTTTAAAAAGCATCTTTTAGATTAAATCAATTTATCACTATCGCGATATTTATCGCAAATCAAATTTTATAGTATAGATGGTAGTGGAGATATCAATATTCATTTTTATGTTTAGTTCACTTTTATATATTTAAGAATTTGATTCATTTTTTTATGAAGAGAAAAAAATTTTATTAGGTTGGATTTAGATGGCCATATTATCTCTAGGGATTATTATACAATTAATTATAATTTTATAAAGATTATTTAGATAACTTAGATCTAAATGTTAAAGACCAATACAGACTCAAAATTAAGTAATTAATTGATTTTAAGATCTAATTATATAATTTATATTTTTATAGAGAATATATTAGAATATTGTAATATGTCTAAATTCTATATTCTTTTCTGATGGTGTGTATTTCTAAAATGTTAATTTAAAAAATATTAGTAACTTTTGTTTAGAATGTTATTTTTTATTCTTTCCTAAAATTAGTCTTGCCATCTAAAGGAGATGTATCTTATATTAAATGTATTATTCCTAACAAATGTTCTTATTTTAATTTTAAATCCTCATAAATGAAAGGACGAACTTTGGATATAAAACTAAGAATCAAGAGAAAAATAACAAATTTATCCAAATAACTTTTTAACTTGGATGTTAACTTTCTCTTAATTAAATACTAATTAAAGAAATATACTATGACATAAAAATTTGAACTCTATATTAGTAGTTTCAAGTATTCTAGATTAAGAAAAAAAATAGGTTATCTTAATGACTAAAAATATTATATTAAAACATATATTTATTTAGTCATTATTACGTTTAAAACAATTTGCTTAACTTAATTATCAATAAATATTTAAAATTAGTGTGAATGCTCTTAATAAATTCAAAACTAATGTAAGGATAATGAATCTTGCTAATGGAATGAGAACTAATCAATATGTGAAGCTTAAAACTGCCAATATTTTACTACTTAAGCTTCTTGTCTAAAGAATTTCTTTGAATGTTCNGCATAATTGTTATATTATATGGTGGAATAATGCTCAGTATATTCAATTATTAAATCAAATTTAAATTTTCAGTAATAAGGATGAACAACAATCAAAAATTTTAAATTCTTCATCTTTTTAGATAAGTATTCTTTTTATATTTTTTGATATTTACTTAAAACTCACAGATAATATAATTAGGATTATTACTTTTAAAAAGCATCTTTTAGATTAAATCAATTTATCACTATCGCGATATTTTTCGCAAATCAAATTTTATAGTATAGATGGTAGTGGAGCTATCAATATTCATTTTTATGTTTAGTTCACTTTTATATATTTAAGAATTTGATTCATTTTTTTATGAAGAGAACAAAATTTTATTAGGTTGGATTTAGATGGCCTTATTATCTCTAGGGATTATTATACAATTAATTATAATTTTATAAAGATTATTTAGACAACTTAGATCTAAATGTTAAAGACCAATATAGACTCAAAATTAAGTAATTAATTGATTTTAAGATCTAATTATATAATTTATATTTTTATAGAGAATATATTAGAATATTGTAATATGTCTAAATTCTATATTCTTTTCTGATGGTGTGTATTTCTAAAATGTTAATTTAAAAAATATTAGTAACTTTTGTTTAGAATGTTATTTTTTATTCTTTCCTAAAATTAGTCTTGCCATCTAAAGGAGATGTATCTTATATTAAATGTATTATTCCTAACAAATGTTCTTATTTTAATTTTAAATCCTCATAAATGAAAGGACGAACTTTGGATATAAAACTAAGAATCAAGAGAAAAATAACAAATTTATCCAAATAACTTTTTAACTTGGATGTTAACTTTCTCTTAATTAAATACTAATTAAAGAAATATACTATGACATAAAAATTTGAACTCTATATTAGTAGTTTCAAGTATTCTAGATTAAGAAAAAAAATAGGTTATCTTAATGACTAAAAATATTATATTAAAACATATATTTATTTAGTCATTATTACGTTTAAAACAATTTGCTTAACTTAATTATCAATAAATATTTAAAATTAGTGTGAATGCCCTTAATAAATTTAAAACTAATGTAAGGATAATGAATCTTGCTAATGGAATGAGAACTAATCAATATGTGAAGCTTAAAACTGCCAATATTTTACTACTTAAGCTTCTTGTCTAAAGAATTTCTTTGAATGTTCATAGAATGGTACTGACTGTATACAATTTGCTATGGGTTCTAATTTAACATCTTAAGCTTTATAGTGTATTAACAAAGAATTCAATGTGTCTGAAATTTTAATAACTCAACCAACTGTGTTTCATTAGATGATTAACTTTAATGCTCTTCTTCAAAAGAGAATCAATGTATAGATGAATAAGTTGGTTATCACGAAGGTTTTTATTTATGGAATAATTCTTGTTATATGGCAACATAATGTACTTGGTTAAAATTTCCAAACAAATTTATGCCAATAAACGAAAAATAGTTGTATCTTGTAATAATAAGAATGTATATAATTGATATTTAAAAATAGATTATATAATTAGAATGCGATGACTTTTAAAATGAAGTTGCTTGTACTTATGTATTAGTTAGTTTAAATACTAAAATAATAATGCTGTGCAAATATTTAAATGGAGTTTGTCAGTCAATTTCAAATGTGGAAGATATAAATGCTGAAAATTGTACATAAATAACTTTAGGGATTTAAAATGTTAATAATACTGGAATATGTTTTCCATGTATTTATAAAGTAGAAGCTATATTTATTAGTAATAAATATCAACCAAGCAATAAATGTTAATGTTTTAGTTTATTTCTGTATAATTTCAATTATCAAATTATCGGTATTGGATAAATGGTGAATATAATCAATTAAGTTGTAATTAGATATCTGATTAGCTCTCTTGTGCAATGTATCTGTAGTTCATTAAATTGTTCAATATATTCTGATTCCTTTTATTAAAATTTTTGGACTGAAGAAAATTGTGTATTAATAAATAATTAATGCGAAAATATTCTCAAATATGAGCAAAAAACTTACTAACCTCAATTTTACAAATGGAAAATTGATAAATGTTAATAATTATTTTTTATTTAAATTTAATAATAATAGTTGTGTATAGAAATTATTAACTTAAAATTATTAAAAATTTACATTTTCAAATATTTACATAAATATTGTTTAAATATGTAGTAACTTTAACTCAAAAATTAATCTCAATGAATAAATTTGTTTATAAAAATCATCTTTTGTTTGGCCCAATTCTTATAGTTAACCTATATAATGTTCAAGCATCACTGAATAACTACACTATGCTTCTAATCCTTATTGTACTTGGTTTAAAGGCCAATACTAAGAATTTAAATATTGTTAAGAATGATGGAACTAGTTGTCTGAAAAGCAAATTATTAAAGTCTTGTTCATCATATAATACTTAAAGTTCATGTACAAATATGTTAGGGAAAGATAGATACTGTATTTGGTTAAGTGGTGATTGTATTATATTTGCTAATGGAGTAGTTAAGTAGAAAAATATGAATACTAAACTTATTGTAATCAACTTGGTAATCCAATTTTATGCAAAAGTAATCCTTTTTATTATTATTATCTAAATGAATGTAAGCCTACAACTTATTAACTATTCATAACAATAGAATCATGTAAATTCAAAATTAATCAAAATAATTGGAATTATATATAATAATGTTCATAGCTAATGGAGCTTTTATATCTGCAGATAATCTATTTACTGAATAAAATTACTACATTAATTCTAATTATACTGCCAAATGGAGTGCTAATGGAGATGGTTTTTGTATTCCTCTTAATTTTATATAATCAGAAATAATTACTCCAAAAAAAAATCAATGCTTATATTCTTAATTATTTATTTAATAATAATGTAGTTTATTTTCCTGTAAAATGATATTTTTACTTATAATAATTATGATTGTGATTAGTCAAATTAGATTGATTGTATATAAAATTCTCATTGAAATTGGATTTATTCTAAAAACAATCCTAGAATTGGTGGTTATAGTCAAATTATTCCTTTAATAAATACATAAGAATTTGCACAAGACTAAAAGAAATAATTCCTTAGAATGTCTTTCTTAAACTACTTTATGCCCAATTGTTTTAAATGGAATTTGTAATGATAGACTATATCTTTAAACTTGTTAAAGTATGAACTCTCTACAATTACGTGCTAATAGTATTAGATAAGAGGGATACTGTACTTATTAAAACTAATCTTGTTAAGTATTATCTAATTGTACTCAATTAAAAATTATATATCAATTTTTTTTATTTGATAAAGCATGAGAATGGAATAAAAGCTATGGTAGTTGCAAATAACTTTTTTATTAATCATATAGGCCACTTATATGATTTAAAAATCACTTTAAGATTGCTATTAAAAAACTGGTGTTACATATCATTTGAGTAGTAGTATTGAAACGACTGGTATTGTGTTTCTTGTTCATTAATACTTATTCAGCCAAAGCATAATTGTTCCTTTACCTTAACAATACAATCTTCATGCTCCTAAATATTGTTTTTTATTGTTCTTAATAGAATGAATGCACATAACATTAATGCAATTGTTATGTAAATTAATGTTTTACCTTCGATTTAAAATGCTTAACTTTTTTTAGATTTTATATCTTAATCTTTGTAATTTTAATTTATTTAAAATGGAATATGCTAAACAACATAAAATTTGAATTCGTGTGAAAAATATACATTACTTCTTGTGATAATGTAACTAGTTAAGCTTTTTGTTTAAGTTTGATATCTGCTTGTAAATGGAGTTACGTTTTTAATTTATGTTTTCCATTTCAATGTTAAGATTACAATTATGAAGAGTAATGTAAAAATGTCTTGATTTATCTTTTTGATCACCAAAGTAGAGCTGTGTGTGGGTAAAATAGTAAATGTTTGCCATTTGTAGAAACCTATTATAGATTTGATGCAGGCATTTGTTATATAACAATTCTTATCGCACATATAGATGGATTAATGAAGATAAATATGGTCTTCGATGTTAGTGTTGTTTTTAATAATTATTGATAAACATAATACAAATAATAGTGTTGAATTTCTTATGAAATTTATATTCAAATAAATATCAACATTTTATCATCTATTTTAGATATTCTGTCTTTTAATTTAAAGTCTTAAATTTTCTAAGTATCATTTGATCGAATAAAACTAATTTTTAACCTTAAAACATTCAATTACAGTAAATGCTCACTTGGCAAAATTTAACATATAATTATAAAATTTTTTAATTAAAAAATAAAAACTAAATTAAATTTTTTAAAATAGACTCATTCTCTTCAAACTCAAACATCATCATCTAGCATTGCTCTTGGTGCTATTTTGAATAAAGTCTACATGCAGTGGTTTATCCAATCTATAGCAAAGCCGAATATCCGGTCTCATATGCGCTCAATCTACAATTATTCCCACAATTTTGTCTCCTAATATTAACACTCCTACCTGGGAGTATATAATTTCAAATTTCCAGTTCAGAGCTGAGAACTCTCTCCTAACAAGATCAGCCATGTATTGCTATATAACCTTCTGTTAATCTTCTCTCAATTCAATTGGTTTCCTTAGATCCTGCCTTACTACTCTACTTTTAGGTAGGTGTAGGCCTCCTAACCTTTTAGTGACCTGAAAACTAGTTTTTGTTCCTTAGAATCTTGATCATTTACTTCTCTCCAATTTAAATTCTTACTTAATGAAAAATATATTTATTGAACCCTTTTATCATGATTCTTACTAGAAATACTTACATTATTTTTTTTCCTTAATATATTATGAAATATATTAAATAAAAGCTGATTCGAAAAAATATCAAAGATTTTTTATGATACTTGTTGCATTTCTAATAATATTATTTCTTCTCTTTCTTCTGGATATCTGGCTTTGGATCACTCAACATTATAAGCTCTAATAACTAAATCAAAAAAATAGTGAATCAATTTCAACGACTTTCAAGTGGATAAATTCTCTTGGTCAAAAATTTTTACAGACAAATTTTGATTAGAATTTATTTATAATAAAATTTATAATATAATAAATTTTAAATTATTTGATCCAAAAAAATAAATGTGTTAAATAATCCTTCTTTTTAATTCATCTGAGACTAAATAGTAAATCAATAATTTATTAAAAATAATAGTGATGGGGAGCTATTATATGAAATAAAAATATATATTGATATTTAAGAATATTAATTGATGGTGATTATTTTATCACTTAAAAATCAAATAAAATAATATCATATTTGATAAAAATATAGTTTTTAGCAATAAAACTATAAGATTGAAGAATTTATTAATTACATGAATGAGCAAATATTAATAAACCAATATGGCATTTTATTTTTAAAGAAATTGATTATGTAAATAATATAAATGGATAAACAATAATAATACAAAAATACTAGCATGATTTATTAGAAGAAGAAGTATTTGTAGTATCACCTTTATACTTTCATGAAGATACTTAAGTATTCATCTTAATTTATCTTGAATGTATAAACTTTCTATAAAAAAGAGAATTTTCATTTATGGATTATGATAAAATAATAAATACATTTCTTTATTATGG